AATCAATCAATCAATCAAACCCCTTTTTTTTTTTTTTTTTTTTTGCATCTGCATTTTTTCAAAACACCTCATACTTCTGCAAAGAAACATAAATTCATTTCTAAAAAAATACAGGTAAACTCACGGACCATATATCTCATGATAAAAAATGACCAAAGAAAAATCCTGCTTTTCTTTATATATATCGTCACAAATAGAACTGCCCGGTAAACCGTAGGCAGAGAGAGAGAAGAGGACAACAAACGAGGGGCTGTGACAAACTGTTTCGTCGGAGTTTCACCGACTCATCAGGAGGCTGAACCCTCAACAGTCTGCAGAATCCCCTCACTGATCACACTGTTTTAAATCGATTTTAGTTTTTGATTTTTTAAAAATCTTAAACAAAGTCGGATTCCAAAAAAACAAATATAGGAGTGTAGGTTTTTTTTAGCTCTACACGCCCATATATATATATATATATTTTTCATGCATTAGAAAAAAAAAGTAAAAATCTTGCACCGAAGTCGGCTGGTCGGCCTAGGCCGAACCCGGCCTATTCGGCCATCGGCCTAGGCCGCGGCCGACTTGGACCCCCCGGCCGCGGCCGGGCGTGCAACATAGCTGAGGACGATTCCTCAGAGTCGCCCGAGGAAATTGTCGCCTTCGTTCCACTCATCCTCGGAGTCGACCCCCGAGGACGATTCCTCGGGGCTCCCGCGGCCCCGATTTATATATGCACAAGCGGACGCGGGGGTGGGGCTGACGGTGGTCCACCGAGTTGTGTCCGTGTGGACGGCGCTGGTCCACCTTTGTTGGCCATCGCGAATTCGAAGGAGGGCGGGAAACGAGAAGAAAACAAAACCGGGGCCCTTGGAAATGGCGCGCAGCGCTCCTGTTCAAAATTTGAAATTTGAAATCAGGCTTTGTGATCGGCGGCGCGTGGTGGACGTACGTTTCACGCCTGGTTGCGTCTGCGGCTGGTGTTCGTGGCGTTCGCATAAGTGACGATTGTCCCCTGCGGTTGTCGTCGATGAGCACGGTTATCTACGCGTTGGCGGCAAGGGAGATGACATCGATACGTGAGCGTTGGGAAATGCAGACGACCATCGTCACTGCGTGACTCCCAAGATATTGCACAACCTCCGACGTTGTGATCTTCCGTGTGGCGGTGTTTTTGGAGTCCAGTGGTTTGATTGACGTGATGTCATAGGAAGCGGCGTCTGGGATGGACGTTGACGGCGGGGCAGGGCGCGGCGGTTTGACGACGGCGGAGAGGACGCTATTGCTGCGGCGGTTAATGCCGTCCTCTTCCGCTGTCAAATGGCGAGCAATGACGCGAACTTCAAAGCGGCTATTCGTGCACGGCGCAAGCTGTTGGCGCTTCCGACGACTGGGCAGTGCTTGGATGTGGCTGCCATTTCCGACGCGGTGCTGGAGGTCTGCTACACGATGGGGTGCGGGGGGTTTCCACGGGCGACTCCACGGTGGTGGGTGAAGCGGCGAACGGGCGGTACGTGGGAGGATCTGCGGCAATGTGATGACGCAACGGATGATTACTTCAAGGAGAAGCTTCGAATGTCGCCTCGTTTTTTCCGCGAGATCGCGGAGACTCTTTCCCCACTCCTTCAACGCCGTGTGACGTTCTACAGGGTGCCTTTGCAGCCAGACCACATCATTGCCTATGCACTGTACAGGTGGGCCACGGGGGAGACGTACGACAGCGGAACACGTCAGCCATGAAACAGTCGACGATGACGGCAGCAAACGGAAGACAACGCGGGCGCCGACATAACAGCGGAGCGCAGTGCTGCAAACGGCCGTCCCGACTTCGCAACAAACCCCCAAGGACATCTTCGGTCTCCCACAGTCAGTGCGTAATTGGGAGCCGGAGTGCGGCCTGAAATATTCGTATCTGCCGACCGTTGGGACATTCCCGCGGATTGCCAAACGCGACAATGCAAGACGGCACCTTCTGGACATCGGGGATGCCGGTTGGCCGCAAACGGTAACCGTTGGAGTGAAGCCGAACGTTGGCGACCCAACATGTCCATGGAGACGCAGGCAGGACCACCGATGGACCAGACGAAATTGAAAAATGTCGTCGAAGGAGCTGCCGTTGACGCCCCGATTCTTCCGGAAGCTCGACCTCCGAGGGACCTCGGGAGGTCCCTTGGAGAAATCGTCAAAATGGCTGTGGCCCCGAGGAATCCCCGAGGAATCCCCGAGGAAATGTTTTCACATTTTCTTTTCCGCGTCTTCCCCGAGGATGAGTGGAAGTTCAACGAGCATTTCCTTGGGGAATTTCGGGCCCCGAGGAGTGTAGAACGAGGCCCTAAATTCAATGCTTTTTCAACAGACAAGCATCTACAAATGGACCTTTCCATATAGAGCGTGACATAACTTAGTTCTTGTGTTTTCTTACTACTGTTTTTTGTCTGGAAAACTTGTCCAGATAAACCGGTAGCCTGTGGCAGGTATATATGGGACCAAGTCCATCGCACAACATCCAAACTGGCGACTAAATTTCGTCAGCATGTTTCTTGGGCTCGGCCAATGCTAAAATTTTCTCCATTACACCACCAGACTCAGCACCAGATCCTTTCCCATATGTGGGCCACAGGGGCCGCCAAGCATTGGGATGTACCCACTACTCTTTGAAAAAAAAAACAAAAAAAAAAAAACAAAAAAAAACTACTACCTGCCAGTGGTCGGCGTGCTTGGCCATGGCCAGCCTCTGTGTTAACAGGCGGACAATTTTGTTTGGCCTGGGAAAGGTAATGGCCGGTTTAACTGAACTATGGACGAATTTGAGGCCTGGTGGACAATGGACATGTTTGTGGAGAGGTGCTAAGAACACGACCAGGTTCGGATGTCAAATCCAATGATCCTCTGCAGTGGAGGTGAGCCGGATTGCCTGAGTGCTCCAACATGAGGAGGACCATGCCATGTCCTGCCGCCGGCCCTCACCACACGGAGGACCATGTAATGTCCCACGTACCGGACCACGCAGAGGACAGAGGACCATGCCATGTCCTGCCAGCCGTGCCGTGGATGGAACGAGTGTCTCGGAGCTTGAGAGCACTTGTCAATGAGAACACTTCCCAACAAAACCAGCAAGGAGACCGCTTGTACGGCCTATGTCCTCACGAGTGTCTGGGCAGACACCGGCCCTCTGACCGATGTCTCCTGAAAGTGCCCTTTTGCAGGCGGGAACCAAATTATTGACCCCCCTGATTTTTTAATTTTATTATTATTATTTTTCGGTGGGGGAGCCAGGAGCCGACCTTCACAGGCGGCACGCGCGCCCGGATCTGCAACAAGCGGCTCCGCGAGCCTCCGCCTGGCTGTGGCGTGGCCGCGTGCAAACTGGGCCGCGCAGCCTCGGCCACGGGGTCGCGGCTGGCCTCCTGAGCCCTCCTCGGCCGCGGTCGAGGGTGCCAGATAGCTCACACAATTAAAAAAAAAATTGTGGGTTGGTGTGGCAGCACTCGCAAGGTTCCATTCCCAAAATTCCGTGAATTTGAGAGTTGTTTGGCACGGCCACTAGCCCTCAAATAAAACATATTAGATTGATGGAATAGTAGACATGAGGTTTTTGAACTTGTTTTCAACGTATTTTACAAGCAAATTCAAAGGAGCCCTTCTTAAGAGTCCAGCAGTACTGATGCTAGAATTCCAAAGTTACTAGAAACATATTAGTATGCATGGAGGAATCTTGTCCCCGGATGCCATCATGGCCATCATGGTGTTGAAAAACTCAAAAACACTCAGCGGCGGCAGCGCAACACGTGCTGGTGGAACCCCTGCCCATGAATAAGCCTCTGGAGGAGAAGCCTATAATACCCCCTTTTATACTTTGAGACTGCACGTGGAGCTGGGACGAGTAGTGTGTTTTCTCWGTCTCTTTGGATCTTCTAAACTTGTTGGTAYGCACTGAGAATAGACAGTCTSTTCGACGAGCAGTGGTGTAGCTTTCATGCCAAACCCTCTCCTMCCAACTTTGACAGATGTCAATTGAAATTGATCATTGCTGTTGTGCAATGCCATCTCTCTCTCTCTCTCTCTCTCTCTCTCTCTCTCTCTCTCTCTCTCTCTCTCTCGACAATTCGCGCCCGCTCCCAGTTTTTAATTCACCCCCGCAGTCCACCGGGACTTCACTTGTAACGGAATTTGCAACCTCTCTGCGCGAGCTCGACGGGGCCCGTGCAGAGTCCCACCAGCAGCCTTGCTTTTTCTCGATCCTCGAATCTGGACGTGTCTATGCAGAAATGATGTTGAGTTTCCTGAACCCCACATCTCCACAATTATGTCCAGATAGTCTACCCTGGATGTGGGAGTAGCCCCCGGCAGATGCTACTCTGTCCTCCGACCCTTTATCTCAACTGAAATGGACGGCCCAGGTACCTGGGAACGGCGGGAAGGAACGGGTCCTGGAAACGACAAAACTGCCCATTTTTAACTTGCCATATGTTGGGAGCGCCGCCAGATGTTTTTTTTGCCTTTATGAACTATTGCTGGGTGAGCCCAAAAGAGAAAAAAAAAAAAAAAAAAACACCGCTCTTTTGTGGTCTGCCCGTTCACCGTGAACAGTTCACAGGCGCAGGGCCATATGACCGGCCGGGCACTGGGAAGAAGTACACTAACTTAAAGTGGTGTACACATCTGGTGAGCGGTGCAGCAAGCTCCCTAGCGTCCACTGTGATGCCTGAAACATTTGTCTAATCAATTATAGAGCATCCATTTTGTTTGTAGAGGCAGAGGACCAGCTGCCACCAGCATTATTCGCTTCTTAAAGTTCGAAAGTTCTTTCTCTTTTCCGCGCTACCTCCTTAACTTTTTTGTAATAACGGTGGTGCAAGCATTCTTTATGGCAGGCATTATCCTCCAAGGCTTCCAGCAATTGGCGGAGTAAGGCAGTCGTTATCTTCCAAGGCTTCCAGCGATTGAATCTCATTGCCAATCGGCCAGTGGTATGTGGGTGCATGCTAGTGATTTCCCTGTTACAAGGGTTTTTATTGGGTGGGGAGAGGGGGAGGGGGAGGAGAAGGGGGAGGGGAGGGAAACATGATCTTAGAAGTACGGCTGAAGACCGGGAAGACCCACCTCTCATGAGGCCGGGGGTGGGCACTGGGCAGCAGTGGATGGGGTGCTGTCTGTCACCTCCTCAAGTGTGCCCATGTGCAAAATGACCTCTTCAAGGGCTGCTTCCCATCAATAGACAGGAGCCATGATTCCGTGGTGTGTGCTACGGAGGGCCCGCTAGGTGTGCTCGTACCCGTACCACCCCCGGGTTGCCCCACAGTAGGCAGATAATCTTCTCGAAGACGAAAAAGAATGGAAAAAAAAAACAAGAAGGGGTAACTACGTAGGAGACACAAAAACAGTTTGAAATTACACTTGGGGCCAAAACGGGTTTCAAATTGCACTCCGGGCAATGTACCTTAGCAGAAAGTTGGCTTGTATGCATTGCCCGGGGTGAAATTTGAAATTCGTTTTGGCCCCAAGTGTAATTTCAAACTGTTTTTGTGACTCCCATCACTCCCATGTAGTTACCCCAAAAGAGGGGGTAAGGGAGAAATCATGGCAGATGGCAAAAGAGTCGACATTACTCAAAAATTTATGGAGTTTGTTTCTTTGTGTGCCAGCCTGCCAGCAGTGCCAGGTATCACCATGATTCTTATCATGCATAACCAAGGTGACCAACGTCACCATGGCTCATCCAGGATTCCAAGGGGGAAAAAAAAAAAAAAAAGATGGGTCATCCAGGAGCCGGGCACCTCTTGGCACTTCCAGGCCTGTTCGACTGCAGACATTCCTCAAGTACCCTGGCTGCGGTCATGTGCCTGCCGCATGCAAACAGCCAAGTCCATGACCTCCACCTGGGCCCACATGTCTGGGACCAACAATAGGACAAAGGAACATGGGCCTAGAAACATCCTGTACGTCCCACCAGTCTCCGTTTCGTTCTTCGTGCGTAATGGTATGCAGGTGAGACAAGGTGTCTCAAAGACTCAGACTGGAATGTGTCCCGAACTATGGACCTAAGGCAGACAAGAAGGAGGAGGGGGTGGGAGAGGTGGAACGACACTGTCAGTGAGAGAAAAGCAGATGGATGTGAAGGATACTATGGGCTGCACAAAGCATGTCAAGAATTACTGGTGGGGGACCACAGCTTTGGGGCCCCTTCTCCCAACCCGCTCCTCCTCATGCTACAGTCTTCCAGCAGTTCATTCCCTTCAGTGACTTCCCGTTAACATATAAATAGTGCAGCTGCACAGCCACTGTCAATACGCTTACGCACCAAGCATTTGGGGCTGGTCCTTCAACTCACGGCGTGAGCCGGAATCTGGAGGCTGAGGGAGAGAAGGTGAGCTATCTATGCCAGCCTTCTGTTTCCCATGAGTCGCTGAGAGTAGAGGACTCTCTCTCTCTCTCTCTCTCTCTCTCTCTCTCTCTCTCTCTCTCTCTCTCTCTCTCTCTCTCTCTCTCTCTCTCTCTCTCT